GAGCGATCTCCAAGCATCTGGAACCAGCGTGGAACCAAAAACTGGCCAATGCCTTTCACAAAACACGGGTCAAGCATCGAATCTCACGTCCGAGGCGTTCAACAAGAATCTAATAGCGGTGAGTTCTTTTCGTTTTTCAATTTTTGCTCGATCAGTTTGCAATGAAAGAGACCGGGACTTCAAAGGAAAATGTCACGATAGAAATTAGGGAATAACGACACGTTCGAGTATTGGTCAGAGAAAGGGATGATCACGTACAAGGCTGAGATTGAATTGGAGACGGTCGAGAATGGGCCTCCGGAACCGCTGGCTACTTGGACCAGGCATAGTAAGATCAAAGAAACTGACAAGAAGATAAAGCCTGCCAAACGATTCTTTCGCATTGGAACTACTCCTGTAATTAATAAGTTTACTTCTTTTGTATGTACGATATAATATCTTTTTTTTTTCACGGGACGCGTTATGCATTAAAAATATTAAAATCACATCAGTCAGTGCCTTGGACCGTGCCAAAAGTGGACGCTGATGGAAATGTCATGAAAGATGTCAACGGAAGGGATTTATGGAGCGGTTATTGCGTAGACTTTGTGGAGAAATTGTCCGAGGTGATGGATTTTGATTACGACCTTGTTATACCGGCGGATCGTCAATTTGGGAAGAGGTTACCCAATGGACAATGGGACGGATTGATCGGTGACCTTGCTAAAGGGGTAAGAAATGTTTCTTTAAACTTTTCCGATCTTTGTGATTTTATTTTTAATTATTAGAATTAATTTTATTTTCTTACTAGTGAGTAAGGAATATTTTTTCAACAGTCTTTTTCTTTTTTTTTTTTTTTATTAAATTATCTTATTCTCCAGGAAACAGACATTGTGGTTGCAGCACTAACGATGACTTCAGAACGCGAGGAGGTGATCGATTTTGTCGCTCCTTATTTTGAACAATCCGGGATATTAATCGGTAAAAACTTACCATGCTACGTTATTTTTATTTATCACAATTATATGTAAATATTATGATATATTTCATATATCATAACATATATATTACATGTGCTTACATGTTATCTTTCGTTTCAAGTAATGAGAAAACCTGTCCGCAAGCCGTCTCTCTTCAAGTTCATGACAGTGCTTAAAGTCGAGGTGTGGTTAAGCATCGTGGGAGCATTAACGTTGACTGGCATCATGATTTGGATACTTGACAAGTATTCTCCTTACAGCGCCAGGAATAATAAACGGCTGTATCCGTATCCTTGTCGGTAAGGAATTCTACTGCAATCTGTGATTCTCTGCTAAAGTTAAAGAACATTTAGATTACGCCTTCGTGTCGTTTCACTGAGATAAAACATTAAATAACACATTGTGGAAAACAGCACGAGGGATTAATTTTAATAGGAATTTAAATGGAACTGATGTCCTGTATATTAGGGAATTCACGCTGAAGGAAAGTTTTTGGTTCGCTTTAACGTCTTTTACACCCCAAGGTGGTGGCGAAGCTCCTAAAGCATTATCGAGCAGAACGTTAGTGGCTGCTTATTGGTTATTCGTCGTCCTAATGCTCGCCACCTTCACTGCTAATTTGGCTGCGTTCCTCACTGTGGAAAGGATGCAGGTTCTTAAGTTTGATGAAATTTCACATTATATGTATATTGTAACTCCTACAAAGATAAATGTTGCGCATCTTTTAAGAACCCGCGTCTTGTTTCAGTCTCCTGTACAATCTTTGGAGCAATTAGCGAGACAGTCAAGAATTAATTATACCGTGGTCGCCAATTCCACCGAGCATCAGTATTTCATGAATATGAAGAACGCAGAGGACAAATTATACACGTGAGTGCTTGAACTTTGGTTCTTTGGTTCTCGCTCAGATGATTTGGAGAATTGATAGAATCTTGGTGTTTCTAAATTAACGATAGTACTGCTCTCAGTGTTTATAATTTATAATACAATTATAATTTACATCTTGACAAATTGACAAACATTTTTCAGTCCTGATGCTTTATTTCTAATCGCACAATTCTGAATGCTCTAAATTCTGGTTTCACGTATTTTTTTTTTTTTTTTTTTTAATTGCAATCTGACAACTGATCGTTCGGAAATATATCAATTTAAAATATAGAAACAAAACGAGAATGATACAAAGAACTGTCATCATCGGATCAAGTATCGAATTTCAGAAATTAATCAAAATTCCCCAAACTCGCGTATTTCAGTCATCCTTCTTCACAGTGACATTCCTCTTTCGTGTAACACTCCCTTAATTTTTCCCAGCGTTTGGAAAGAAATTACGTTAAATAGCACGAGCGATCAGGTTGAATACCGTGTCTGGGACTATCCAATCAAGGAACAATACGGCCACATCTTGCAAGCGATTACACAGGTCGGCCCCGTTGCAAATTCCAAAGAAGGTTTTCAAAAGGTACTACAAAAGGCACGTCACGCATTGACGATCGGTCGCACGAGTCGCGAAAAAATCGCTGGCTTTCTTTTTTCGCGTCGTTTCAGGTGATAGAAAGCGAGAATGCAGAGTTCGCTTTCATCCACGATTCGGCGGCGATAAAGTATGAGGTAACGAGGAACTGTAACCTGACGGAGGTTGGAGAAGTATTTGCGGAACAGCCTTACGCAATTGCTGTTCAGCAGGGAAGCCACCTGCAAGAGGAAATAAGCAGAAAGTACGTATATAACACACCGACCAATGTTCTGTATTAATTAATTCGTTGATTAATTGGTTGATCTGTTGCAGGATTCTAGATTTGCAGAAGGACAGGTACTTCGAAACGTTGGCGTCCAAGTACTGGAATCAGACGCTGAAAGCTCAGTGTTTAAATTCCGACGACAACGAGGGGATAACGTTGGAAAGTTTGGGTGAGTGGCTTTCAATTAAAAACCGAGTATTTCTTGTTAAATTAAACTTTCAATATTCAAGCCAGAAGTTCATAAAAATAAAGTGACTTTGTTGAAATATTTTTATGTAAATAGTAATTTGTTGAAATAAACAAAACAGAAACGTGGGATATTTTTCATTCAAATTTTAAAGACTTTTATCCCCCTCCCCAAAAAAAAAAAAAAAAAAATGATGACGATGATTATATTATATTTTCAGGCGGAGTGTTCATTGCAACTCTTTTCGGACTCGCTCTGGCGATGATCACGTTAGCAGGAGAGGTATTCTATTATCGAAAACGTAACACGCAGGATAAGCAAAAAGAGAAGAAGAAAGGGAAGAACGTCGACAAGGATAAGCTGCTGATCCAAAAATTAGCCTCGAAAATGCAGATGAAACCCGCACCGACTCCATTCTTCGAGAAAACGACGAATCTTCCTCGCGTGTCTCATATCTCCGTCTATCCTCGCAATTTCCCCTTCAAGGAATAAAAATCCACGCAAACGAAACTTATTACAACGACCGAGAGTAGAGTTTGCAATAAGAAACGTTCTCGCAGAGATCAACTCATTCGGTAAAATAAAATTTTTCGTTCGATCAATAATTTCAATCAGGCACGTCTTAAGATAAAAGTGAAATTAATGTTTTTAGCTAAAAAAAAAAAAAAAAAGAAGAAGAAGAAAGAATTTGGTTCGTAAGAACCAATATCTTTCACCGTTTCGCAATGTTTGTCGATTTTTCACGCCACTCACGAGCCCCGGAAACAATCGTGAATCGATCGATTATTATAAACGATATCTGTCTAGTCTCTTTCGAATCAAGTTAAAAGGTGTTTCACTTTCGTTTTCAACTGAACTTCTGTATTAGCGATTTGTAGTTGTATGTGAATAAAGATTCAAGAGTATTTTTTACATCGTTACGAGATTTTTCATCTTCGAAGTCTTCCTTGACGTCACGCATGATGTGCTTCTTCTCGATTACGAGAGAGAGAGAGAGAGAGAGAGAAAGAGTCGACGATTTCCCATCCGGACAAAAATATTCGAGTGCTGGAGATGTCGTTTTTTTCCCCGACGATGGCTCGTAGATCGATTGCACTTGTGGGTTATTGTCCGTTGCTAGACTTTTTTACCAATTCGCGGCAGCGAAATTGCATAAATGAAAGCGAGCAGTTAGGGATCGGCCAGCTGTGTCGTTTCGATTCGTAACATTTTGCCGCAGCGACGGATAGACTCTTCGAGTTGATTCCATTTTAATTCACTTTCGACAAATACCTTTAATCATTTGCCATCTGAACACGTAGAAATGATACGATCTTACATTACTGCCAGCCTTTTTAGTTAAAATATCGCAATTCCTTCATTTCTCGAGATGCAATTAAAATACTTAAATTTCTTATATTTTTATATTTAAATGCCAACGCATTTAAATGTTTTTGTCTCTTTCACGTAAAACTATATTAAATCGAACGAGGAAAAACAGAGATGAAACAAAGAAATTAATCCATAGATCTTCAAGCTTTAGTCAATTACTGCTAGACTAATGATCTTTGTATAGAAATGCATACATGCAGAAATATATAAAATATCCAAAGCAGAGTAATTACAATACACAAGTAGATAAAACAAGTTTCGTAAAAATTTAGTGATACAGCTTAATTATCACCGAATAAATTTAATATTTAATATAATAATGTTACTCAAAATTAATTCGGTCTAACGAGCGAAAACACGAAAAATATTCCTTCCTTAGTAACTTCAATCGCTGTCTCGAGCATCTTGTACGGCAAGAAATAAAAGATCAACGCATTCGTGTGCTCGCCGCGATTTTTCTCGCATTTAACGAGATGAAAATAATCGACCAGCGGCCACGGACGAGCAAACAGCGTCCGGCACTGTTTTACGGTCGTTGATTCGAGTCTTTTTGATCGGCAAGCAACGTTCACCGTGTCTGGAGACAATTCGCGAAGCGAAAAGGTGGGGGCGCCGATGCTTTTTGGATCGCCAAGTCGATATAAAGGCTTTCCACGATCGAAGGCGAGATCATTTCATGGGAAAGTGATGTGGACCGTCGAGCCGGAACCGGAAACGAAATAAGTGTCCGCGATATCTCGCATCATGCCCTCCTGCAAGCTTCACTCTTTGTGCCTCGATGGAATGTTTCTGGTAATGGGATCTTAGTTATTTGCAACGAAATAGTCAGATTTCATTGATAAAACGATCAGATCTGTTTTAATGTTTCGCAGGCTAAAATTTTTGCTTATCAATGTTTAGATATTTATTTGACTTTCGAGCTGTTTAATACTTTTTAGTATTCTTTTCTTATTTATTTTTTAATGCGCGTTTCAGTTTTTTCGTACATTTTGTCATATTTTGCAATGATAGTATGACTAGTAAGCATCATTAGGGAATTCCATTAAAAATTAATTCCAGATTAACTCTTAATATTAATTTTCAAACATTAATATATAAAAATTATTAACTATAAATATTGATATATTTCCCTTCGTTAATCTATCACATTTTAATTTATCCACTATTTTTTGACGAACATATACTCTGTGCAAAAAAATACAAATCTCATTATACGGTAAAAAGGTTAAAATGAGAAAAAGTTGAGATTAATCTTTCTTATCACGCAGACGTGCTTAATCCTGGCGATCTTGTGCGCCATTCTGGCAAACGGCGAATACTACAACGAACGCTTCGAGCCGTTGCACACCGACGTTTATCCCTGGACTCGCATAAATCGCGAGATCCCTCGTGAATTGGCCTTCTCAGATCCATCTCCGTCCTACAGTAGTTTCTTAGAATCCAGACTTAGAAATCAGCGTGCGTTCGATTCGTCCGAGTCCCTCGACAAGCCTAAACCATGGTACTCGGCGTCCACAGTGAAGAAAGTCCCCACGGAGAACAAGAATTTGAAGAAAGTGATATCGCCGTTCTACACCATCACCGACGACGATTCCCAAAAGTACAAAGACATGGTGATGAAGTCCGGCGTTCCATACTGTCAGGAGATGAAAACGAAACGAGGGGGCAAGAGCAGCGTCGCGAAGGACACCACGATCTGCTACAAATGCAAGAATCCGAAGAACGGCGCCACTTACGAACAATGCTCGTATCATTCTCATCCGTTGACCGATTCCAGCAACATCGACGAGATTCCAGTGGCACGTCCAGGGACGTTCAGAAACAGGAGGTCCAACGTGGACGAAGCTTCCTCCGGCTCCGAAGGCTCTGACAATTACGGACGACACGACAGCCCGTACCGATTTAGCGAGAAGATATTCTCAGACGCAACGGACGACGTCCCGCCAGAGTATAAGAACGAGAACGAAAAATGCGAGAAGGTGACGAAGGACTCGATGGTGTGCATGGTGTGCAGAGACACGAGGAGTAACGCGAAGTACGAGCAATGCTCCTACGTTGGAAAGCCTGATGAAAAGGATCACGCTCCTGACCAGGCTGAATTTAGCTCACCGAAGGATTCTAAAACGCGATCCGAGAACGAGGGCGAGGAGGATATTGGGAAAAGATCGAGCAGAGAATATTCGAAGAGTGACGAACCGGTTAAAGAGTACTCCAGTTACGACGACAAGGAGGAGCCAGAGAGATCGTCTCGAGAGGAAGCCAAGGAATCGTCGGACACCTGCAAGAAGGTCCAAAAAGGCTCGAAGACTTGCACCGTCTGTAAGGATCCCAGAACGCGTGGAAATTACGAGAGATGCTCGTACAGCTACGAGCCGGACGACAAGGTCTACAAGTACAGTAGATCGAAGAGTTTCGGATATCCCAGCAGTTCCTCCAAAGATAACGACAAGAAAGACTACAAAGAGGACAAGTCGCAAGAGGAGGGATCGCGAAGCGAGCCCGAGGATTACAGCAAAGACTATACCATACCAGAAAGCTATTACGAGAAAAGTCAATCCACCCCGCCGAGTTCTTACTTCAAGGATGACGAGTCCAGGTCTAATTACGGTCAGTATGGATCGTCTCGAGGATCGAAATCTCCTTCGGACGAGGATGGATCTTCGTCCAGCTACGAGAAATCTAAATTAGAGTCGCAGAGAGTCGCCGAGAGTATCGAGCCGAGTCACTGCAAAGAGATCGAGAGAGACTCTATGACTTGCAAGGTTTGCAAGGACCCGAAGACCGGAAGTAACTCGGAACAGTGCTCGTACAAGTACCAGCCAAACGACAAGAGTTACTCGTACTCGAAATCCAGGTCGTTTGGTAGTCCAACGGAGTCAGAGGACAGATCGTACGACGGATCTGAGAAGAAGGAGTCCAAGGAGCCGTACGAGAGTCGAGACTACGATTCTTCCTCGGAGAAGAAGACCAACAGAGACGCTCAGAGGAGAGAATTCACAGCGTCCGGGGAATCGGCGAGTTCTGCACCGAAGAAGAGCGACTCGGGCTTCTACGACGCGTTCAAAAAGAAAGCAGAGATTCAGAAGGTACTTCGCGAGTTCCAGACGGAAGATCGTTCCAATTGCAAGAAACTGATGCGCGGCAGAATGACTTGCTACCAATGCGTCGACGAGAAGGGCTTCCAGAAGGAAGAATGCGCTTTCGTAACCTCGGACGAGCCAATCGAGGAGAAGTCAGACCATCGAGAAACCAGGGAACCTACCAAGAAGGTTCCCAGATCGATCGAAGATCGTTCGTATGATTTTTTTGTAGAACCTGAGGCTGCTGCCAGCGAGAAAACTGAGGCGAGAGAACAGTCGAACAGCGAGACGAGTTCCGAAGAGATTGAGAAAAAATCTAAGGAGGTTGAACCTTACGAGTACGTGGCGGAGACCAGACCTGTGTTTGACAAGGTTCTTGGATTCACACTTCCGGCGTACATGTTGAGCACTTCCGAACACGAAGACGAGTTTGACAAGATTTTCACGAGTGGTAGTACTTAAGAACGTCGTTTTCTTTTTTATATCTTTTGTATCGTATTGGTTAGATTCAACGAGTTTGTAGATAATTTATAAATTTGATGACGAAATAGATTTAGTTACTCTTGCACGAAATTCGAATCTAGACCATATTTCAATCGATAAAGATACAATGTTTCTAAGCGTTCATACTTTCCCGAAGTTATACACAAGCGGCACTGAATTGTTGTATCGAGGTTTGTAATTAAATTTCTTTTTGTTTAAACGATGATGAAATTAATCTTCGTCCGATTACGTGGAATGTAACTTGCGTTACAGTCACGCTTGATCGGACACGAAATTAGTAACGTTGCTTGCTATCACGTGTCTTTCATTGCACGTGATTTCTTTTCCTTTTTACTTTGCGCGTGTGCACTACTGCGAGAGAAGAGAGGAAATTTCTTCTGTCGACATTCTGTGAGAAGAAAGTGAGAATAGGAGAGCAATGTCTGGCCGTCGTGGATGACTGACCACGGATAAAGAAACGTCAGGATCGCGCAAAACCTAAGAGATCAGAAAACATAGTTTCTTATTCATTAGCTGAGAAACAGATCTCGTTACAAGATCCTCGGAACAAGAACGTCCGTCTAGGAAACCATTTTCTACTCTTTTTCGTACTGCTGAAACAGACGTGATAGTTCTCAATTAACAACTCAATTTTACATTCTTTCCCTCAACATCCATCTATTTTTTATTCATAGCTCAAAATTCTCTGTGCCATCGAATACATTTTTTTCTTCTTTTTTTACATTTTAGTACACGTATGTATATAAAATTCACAAAATTTGATACAACAAGTGAGTCCCCTATTTCTTTCCTCCTTTCATTCTTTCATTTCTCTAATACCATTTCATTCTTCACTCGAAGAACAATCAGATTTTCTATTTCTCTCTTTCTGCGGAGAGAGTTCGCTTTGCATCTTTACACAAAATTCACAGAATTCAATCCAAGTAAATTATCTGTTTCGTAGCTTTCGATTTGAAAAAAACTTTGGTGCAAAAAGTGTCAAGACTCGATCTAAACAGATCCTCAAACCCCAATTTTTTCTGGCATAGTTTTCAACAATAAAACAGCACTTTTTCAATATTAAAAACTATTCCTCCATGCAAAACTCGCAAGATTCGATCCAAATCGTTAATTTTATCTCTCATAGTTTCCAACTTTAAATAGTATCCCTTTTTCAATATTAAAAACTACCCTTCTATGCAAAAGTCAAAAGATTTAAGACGATTCATAAATCCTTAATTATAGTTTTCAACAATAAACAGTACTTTTTCAATATTAAAAACTATTCCTCCATGCAAAACTCGCAAGATTCGATCCAAATCGATTCTCAAATCGTTAATTTTGTCTCTCGTAGTTTCCAATTTTAAATAGTATCCATTTTTCAATGTTATATTAAAAACTACCCTTCTATGCAAAGGTCAAAAGATTTAAAACGATTCACAAATCCTTAATTTTCTCTTTCATAGTTTTCAACAACAAACATCACTTTTTCAATATTAAAAACTATTCCTCCATGCAAAACTCACGAATCGATTCTCAAATTGTTAATTTTCTCTCTCATAGTTTCCAATATTAAAACCTATCCCTGCGAAATATATAAAGCTCACGAGAATTCAATCTTTCGTTTTTCGTCTGTAATTTTCACACATAAAGAAAAAAAAAAAAAAAAAAAAGAAAAGAGAGAACTGTCCCCTGTCGAAGTGGACCCGCTGCTCGCGGCTCTGTCGGTGAAAATCTCGGCTCGTCCGATCGCGCCACATGGCGGAGCGTGCCGCGGCGACAAGAAGCGGAAACGATGACGGAATCTAAAAGCTGTGTGTGGTTCACGACCCGTGGGGATCGTCGTCGGCCAGCAGTAGCAGCGGACGCGCGCTAGTGTCGGCATCGGTGCTGCTCGTCCTCCTTTCCAGATCCGTCAACCTTCTTCTTCAACCTCCTCGGCACGCCTCGCGGACCTCCAAAGCAACAGGCCACGACCAGAGAGAGAGAAGAGAACCGGTTCCCTGTCGGCTAACGCTGGTGAAAAGCGGCGCGAGCTTAACGCACGGCCACACGGGATTTTCGTATTTCGTTCGCGCCGGATATCGTACACTTTGTCGTCCCGAGCATGAGCACCTCGACGTTCGTGGGGTAAGCGTGTATTTTCCTTTTCCACCTTATCTCGCGGAAAGACAGATGAAAAGAGCATCGTCCAAGGATCCTCGATATCGTTCGAAGATTTTTTTTTTTT